AAAGACAACATATTTAGTCACAAAGATATTACAGATATTTATCATTTTATATTTGCAAGCTGCTGATGTTCATTTGACAGGATAACAATTACAATTGGACAACGTGCATGTGTTGCTGTATTTTTTCCCTAGTGTTCCACACGTTTCAGCCTCAGACTCAAGGGGGCGACAAAGTCCATGTAAATAACCTGCTTTTGGGACTGAAAGGAACACTTCTGACTTTTTGTATCACTGTGTCTAAACTGTGACATTTACCGCTGTGCGACACACCAATTACACTCATACCCTCTTATTTTTCACTTGCAGGGAATTGAACCTTAAATGTCAAATGTATTTTCATTATAAAAATGAACCATAATTACTGTCTGCTTTTACATTTCTGTCATCATTAAGAAGAGGTCATGGTGTGATAGATCTTTCCTCTACCAGACAAACATATCACTCACTCTTTTAATGACCCAGGTATATCAGTGGTCCTCAGCTTGGGGTCTGGCCCCCTGAGTAGCCCCTAATAGGGTTGTATGCATAATTTCAATATAGATAAAGTCTATAATGAAAAATGGTTTATAGGAGGTTTGACCTTTGTCACTGCTTTTGGTCTATTTTCATTGACCTTTACAAGCTTATATTTTTCTGTTTGGAAGAGCAGGATAATGGCAATCTTTTGAGCTACTTAGCTATATCCATCCATTTTTGCAATAGGCTATGCAGGTTTTCTAGTCACCCCTCTCCCTACCAACACTCTCTAGCTCCTCTTTTGGGATCCTGAGGTGTTCTCAGGGCAGATGGGATATTTAAGCCCTCCACTGAGTTCTGGGTGTACCCTAGGGTCTCCTCCCATGTTGTATTATGCTTGCCTGGAAAACCTTGAGTGGACAGTGCCCAGGAAGCATCTTGATAAAATGCCTGAACCACCTCAACTGGCTCCTTTCAACATGAAGGAGCAGTGGCTGTACTCTGAGCTCCCTCCGGATGTCAAAACTCCTCACCCTCTCTAAGGCCATGCCCAGTCGGCCTACAGAGAAAACTAATTTCAATCGCTTGGATCCGCAAACTCTTTCTTTTGGTCACAACCCAAAGCTCATGACCATAGGTGAGGATTAGAACATAGATTGACTGGTAAATAGAAATGTTTCCCTTGAGGTCTAGCTCCCTCTTCTCTGCGGCAATTCGGTACAATGCCTGTATTACTGTTGACAACACACCAATCCACCTGTCCTTCTCCTGCTCCATCTTCCCCTCAGTCAAGAACAGAGCCCCAAGATACTTAAACTTGTTTGAAAATGTGGACCACCACCCGAGTCTGCTAATCCACACGTACTGTGCCTGGCCTCCTGGAAACATCAACCTAACATAGTCCAGAGCCTTCAGCATCTCAGGGTGTGTCATCCACGCCCAGTCGCTTGTCCCTAAGGAGCTTCTTGTCTTGACTACCTTTGGCAAACCCTGTCAGGGATGTGGGTGATCATTCCCCTGATTCCTCAGAGTCTGCCTCATCCACAGAAAATATTAAGAACCAATTCATGAGCTCCACAAAGTGCAATTTCCAATTTCAACATCCTCTGCCACTTAATCAACCGTCATCCAACAAAGCCACAGATCCCCTTTTCTTCCCACCTTACACAAGATTAAACTCCTACTGTAGTTTTTATCTAGCTATTATTAGTTCATTGGAATCACCCGCACACATATTGCATTCAAGCAGGGAGAATCCCGCTGTGGATGTGGACTACTTACAGGCTAAAAGGATATGAAAATGTATTCATTCATTGCACTGGATCATTAAAGTATTGATAAAAGCAGTAACAATAATGATAATAACTGTGACCCTGGCAAAAATGTTTTAACTAAAATTGCAGCTCAACTAAACTTGCTCTTTACAAGGCTCTATCAGAAAGATCACCACTTAATATCAATATGAAGGTTGATGCCAAGAATCTGGTTAGAGTCATAAAATTTGAACTTCATTCAAATAGGGCTTTAAGAGCAGTTACTGCTCTCAGTCAATGTTAGACTTGAATCATTTAGACACAGAGTAAAAAAGACATCTGCCAGTTGCTTGCTTGCTGCCATGCTTATGTCCTCTAGGTTAGCCACTTCCTGTGGACATTTAGGCTTAAAACATGGTGTAAATGACGCTGTTTTGAGTTGAATATGAATGTCAGGGCTTGCGGACACTTGGATGACACCACACGAGCAGTATGGAGGCATGTGTTTTATTTCTGTTGTTTTTTACGTCTGAAGATAAGTCACTAATTTCTTCAATTGTATTGGATTTGGCTGCCACACTGTTTACCCCTGAAACCCCAAAAGTGTTTTGTGGACTCAAATACTTCACCCACCCCTCCATTGGCATAGGGCTGAGTAGATAATGAGTGAATGATCATTTTTGGGTGAACTATCCCTTTAATGTCTTCCTGCTTATAGTATAAAGCTTTTTATTATTCTAAGAGCATAAGCTCATTATATTTACTAAATCGGAAACATGATGGCAAATGTCATCAATTCACTTTTTTTGCAGATTCAATTAGTGTTTGATTTGTCAATTAACATGCAAAGTGACATAAAGTTAATTAAACTCCCATCAGGTTTATACTGTAATCAGTGTGAAGTAGAGTGTGTCGGTGCATGCATCTGACACTGCAATTGATAAGGTGTAATGCCTATGTGTGTGTTTGTGTGTGTGAGGGATGTGGTGGTGTAACAACACTGAGAAGGGGTTAAGGTCCCAAATTTTGCACCCAAGGGCCCTTTATCCCTTTCTCAAGCCTGCATGGCCAAGGCAGACTTATTTCACTCATGAAACATTGACTCACTCAATCTGCAACACTTACCTTCCTTTCAGTTCCAGGTTTTCACTGGAGGGGTTGTATGTGCACATGACACAAAGAAAGGCAGAGGGTGCTTTGGTGAGATGAAACGCACTTGCAGTCACTTGACTTCTGCACATACATAAAACCACTCAAGCAGCACAAATGTATGCACGCTCACTGCCACCAGGACTCTTGTCCTAATAGGCAGCCAGCCTCCTCTGCTAAGTGACAGACATGATGTTGGGTGCACTTTCATCAGACCGAGACTTTGATTTCTCTGCCCTCGCTCCTGTTTATTTTCTCCTTAGTCTCTTCACTCAGCTGAGCTTTTGAAATATTTCCCCCATGATGGAGCCGGTCATTCCATCTAGACTGAAGTAGGAAAGTGGGGGGAGATTGAAAAGGCGAGCTCACTCTTGCACTTACTGCTACACCCACCTGAGACATCCATCCATCTGCTAATCCTGTCCACCTTCATCTCTCTTACCCTCTTTTACTTTATGATTTCACCCCACCCCCACCCCCACTCCCACTTAACCCGTCTATGTTCTTTCTTCTACCCACTTTCAGTTCTTCATGTGGTCTCAAAGCTTTTTGTTGGGTAGAAGAAGGGATTTGCTGTGAGTCACAGATTCTTGGGCGAGGATTCATGAGGTGACATCTGGTTCTATATGCTGGGGGCAACTCTCATCCCATACCACAGCCCAGCACTCTCCTAGTCTGAATTTATGGTGGAGGTA